ACCCCAACCCCAACCCCAAACCCAACCCCAACTTCAACCCCAACCCCAAACCCAAACCCAACCCCAAAGCCAACTCCAAAACCCAAACCCAAACCCAAACCCAAACCCAAACCCAAACCCACAACCCAAACCCGAACCCCAAACCCAATACCCATAGTAATAGAAATATCTAAAAAAAATGATTATTTTTCAAATACTTTTAATTGAAAAATATGCTAGTCTATAATTTATTTATCATTAATATATGATATAGCACTATTTATTTGAATTAAGTAATGAATGAATTGGTTGATACACTTAATGAACTTCCACAAAAATTCAATACGGAGGCGGAATTTTTACCATAAAATTTATGCTTGTTACTTTTTTTTAATCTAAACCATCAAAAATAAAGATTGTCAGAACTATTTAATTTATATCCATTTATTAAAAATTTGAAAAAACATAGAAAAATAATAGATATAAACAAATATCAAGTATCACAGGTTGGTTAAATAAGTATTTAATTTAAAATTGGATTATAATAAATTATTATTTTTTTTTATGTTCTAAAATTTTCATTTTATAGTTTTTCTTGGATTTAATATTAATAGAAACATTTATTAATTTAATTTATGGAACATTTGAGAAATACTTAAGTTAGCCCCACACCATTAGTAAAAGATTAGCAGGAATTTTTTAATTATGTTTAACATTAATCACTGTAATGATTGCTAACCTAAATTAGAAATGAAACAAATCAAACAGATGAGAATCAAAATTATTAAAGTATTGATATAGAATCAAATAAAATACCCTCAGATTTATTGAAGGATTAATCATTTTACTATCCAAAAATATATAGGTTTGAGGGCTCTCTTGGTTTATTTTATTTAGCATTTTTTTAAGTTAAATGCTCATTTTATCCAACATATTTTTTTGATTAATCAAATATTGAATCAGGTGTTAGCCTAGCTTTGATTTATACTTATTTTGGGGTTATTATCATGACTCGGTTCTAAAAGTTTTAAATGGCAATGCTTATTCCATTATAATATCAGGCACCAGTATCCTATATAATATTCCTTAAAAATCCT